CTTATGCTGTATGTAGTTTGTATTTATTTGTTTGTTTACTGTCTCTTCATTAGATTGTAAGTTCCTTGAGGGCAAGGACTGTCTCTTGCCTCTTTTTGGATCCCCTAGAACAGGTGGGGAACCTGAGGCCTGGAGGTCACATAAGGCCTTCTAGGTCCTCAGGTGAGACCCTTTGAATCCAAACTTCACAGAACAAATCCCCTTGATAAAAGTATTTGTTCTGTAAACCTTGGATTCAGTCAAAAGGCTGCACCCAAGGACCTAGAGGGCCACATGTGACCTCGAGGCTGCAGGTTTCCCCACCCCTGCCCTACAACTTAGCACTGTGCCTGGCACATAGTAGGTGCTTAATAAAGATTGATTGATTGATAAAATCTCCTCATTTTACAAATGACAACACTGAGGTCCAGAGAAGAGAAGATACTTATCAAACATTACACAGATAGTAAGTAGCTGTACCCCAATTCTAATCTAGGGCTTCTGACTCCAAATCCAGTGCTCTCCATTACCCCACATATTGCCCATGTTCTCACCAGCAAAGGTCAGTGCACCAGGAACTCAAGGTCATCTGAAAAGAACATGTGGGTAGAGTCTCCGGATCTGGAACACAAACTGCAGGAATTGGAATGATCAGTCTGAAACACACACCAGGGAAGAATGTGTGGGAACCAGCCCAGGCAAAAACCAGCTGCCTCCTGGCTCTGGGACTGGTCCTGGGTCTCGATGCTATTCTTGCAACCCCAGGAGTTGATCTGACACATGGAAGCAGAGACCTTGTCTCCCTTATTAGCCTGGGGCCGAGGGCTGTGAGTTCTTTTTTTCCCCCAGTGCCTGAGGAAGGGAGAAGGAGAGGGGGAAGGGGGATGTAGAGGCTGGAAAGTTAGCCACTCCCAAGGGATTCCTAGTATCGATAACACAGAGAAAATTCAAACCAGCTGCTTGAGGCCCCCGTGGGCCACAGAGGCCCTCCCTGCCTCCCCCACTTGAATCTTTGGCAAAATGCCGGGTGAGGGAAAGGAGGGGCTCCCAGAGGGCGGTGGGGAAGGAGGGGCTCCCCAAGAGGAGTGGGTGATAAGCTACAGGGAAGAGGAGGAAGCCCATTCTGGGCTCAAGCTCCAACTTCAGGCTCTTGGGGTTCCCCAACATGATCCAGATGTGGCCCACTACCGCAGAGAGGCCCTTATAATGTGGCTGCTTATTTCAGTTACAAGAAAGAAAGAGGCTGGCTGCTTAGGGACCCCATGGGACAGCGGGACCTTCACAGGATCACTGTAAGATGGAGGTCTGACCCTTATGGAAGTGTGGAAATGAGAGATTTGTCAATTCACCCAGAGGTGCTCAGGCATTGTGCCTTAGTTTACACCCCCTATACTCATCAGAGACTGATTTATAAACCAAAATGACAATTTAATAATTTTTAAATGGAGATGGATCTAATAGGGTAAACGAACCTGGTTCTATGCCATTGTTACTCACTCCCTCCTCAAGGAGAGGTCTCCTCGGGAGACCACGTTTAGGCTCACGGGCCTCGAGCTGGAAAAGCCTTCGGAGGGCATCCAATCCAACTCCCTTATCTACAGGAACATAATGAGACCAGTAGAGGTTAAGTGACTTGCCTAAGGTCATACAGCTAGTGAACATCAGAGATGAGATTTGAATCCAGGTCTTCTGACTCCAGAACCAGTGGTCCCCAGAGCATTAAGTTGAGCCAAAGGAGCTGGATTTTTTGACAGGATCTTTGTTAAGCTGTGATAGCCTGATGACTTGCCCTTCTCCACTCTAGGCATATTTCTAGATAATAATAATAATAATAATAATAATCGCTGACATTTCTATAGCATACTTTATATGATACACATCACCTTGTGAGGTTCATACTATAGGAATTATTAGCTCCATTTTACAGGTGAGAAAGTGAGCCTTAGAGAGGTGAAGCGGGATGTTGAGAGTAGGATTCGAACCCTTGTCTCTCCTGACTTTAGGTTCAGCCTCTGACAGTGCCTCTATCAATGTGGTCCATTAAAATCAGAGCAGTCCCTTCCTGAGCCATGCTGGGAACATCAGATTCCAGGGCTCTCCTTTTTTCTAGACTCCATGAAGACTCCCCATTTCTCCATTGGGTTATGTTTAAGGTAATGTGATCCAATTGAATAGCTCTGAGTTGTTTTAAATATTTACACATAAATATGTATAAATATAGTGTGCATATATTCATATTCATGTATCTTGAAACAAAGAGGTTTCCTTAATGGGATTTCAGCGTGTACCTTAATAAGGTTTTAGCATTAAACACTCATCATTCACATCATACAGATGGCCACTTATTCCTCCTATGGACATAGAATAGTTCCATCCAAGTGTATCTCCTTATTCAGAGTGGACAGCTGGGGGTACAGAGGGCTACTGGGTGACTTCATGAGGAAGATGTCTTGGGATACAAGAGGGAAGAAAATATACATTTTTTAAGTGCATACTACTATACAATAGCACAGGGCAGGAGGTACTTCAACAAGCACTTTGCAAATATTGTTTCATATGATCTTTGCAGCAACCCTGGGAGGTAGGTGCTATTATTATCCTCATTTTACAATTGAGGAAACTGAGGCAAACAGGTTAAGTGACTTGCCCAAAGTCACACAGTAAGTATATGAGGCACAATTTGAACTCAGGTCTTCCTGAATCCAAACTCCATCCACTGCAATCTGCCTCTATGCATAGAATATTCCCATCAGACAGATCTGCTAGTAGGGGTGGGTAACCTGTGGCCTGCAGGCCATATGTGGCCTTCTAGGTCCTTGGGTGTGGCCCTTTGACTGAGTCCAAGTTTTACTGAACAAATTCTTTTATTAAGAAGATTTGCTCTGTGAAGTTTGGATTCAGTCAAAGGGCTGTACTTGAGGACCTAGAGGACTGCATGTGGCCTCAAAGCCACAGATTCCTTGCCCCTGCTAGAGAGCACGGACTGGTTTTTGCCTTTTTTTGTATCCTCAGGGCTTAACATAGTGCCTGGCATACAACAGGTGCTTAATAAATGCTTATTGAGCAACTGAGGATATGAGGAGGGGTTTGACTTTGGCTCTTCCCCAACCTGTGACTCCCAGATCTTTGTCTTCTCTCTCTGCTTCCCCCTATCAAACATCCAGTGCCCAGTACCTATAGGGGAATTCAACCCTGCCTTAAATGCAGAAAATGCTCAGGGGCATGCTGTTCCCTGGAGTTATGAGCTAGGGGCTGACGATAATGGTTAGAGGCTGAGAATCTTGACTCAGAGCTTGGGGCTGAATGGAAAAAAATACGTTGGAGCTTCTAGTGTGAGACTGTCTCTGGCCCTGAAGTGGGACCCGAATAGCATAAGGAAGCAGTGTCCAAAAGTGCAACAATTATGAAGATATAGGGATGCTGGAGGAAGGGCTAACGGCTGACAAATCTGGCCTCCAGCCACTTTTTCAATCCTCCTCCTCTCTCTGTCCCCAGGGCCTCTCCTTTATCCTGTCTATTCCTGGCTCTCTTCCTCTGGGAATCTGTCTTCCCAGGCTCATGCATCTGACTTATGCCCTCTTCCTCACCCCCACCCCTAGCCCCAGCTGCCCTTCCTTGCTGCTGTGTTTGCAGTGGGGGTGGGCAAGCTGGAAGCTCAGTGACTGCCCCCATTCCCATACTGGAGCCACCAGTACAGTGAAGAGATGTTGCTGACTTGGGGTTCCCAGGCCTGCTCCTTCTCTGAAGGTCTCCCTAGTTTCCATCTGCCTTGGTCGCTGAGGCAGATGGTGAAAAGCAATGGATGGAGCGGGGTCCTATCCCTCCTGCATTGGTGATAAGTGATGTAACGGGTTTAACTCTGGACTTGTAGCCAGAAATACCTGAGTTCAAATCCTGCCTCAAAAGCTGTGTGACCCTGGATGAATTCTAGGATCATGGATTTAGAGTTGGAAGGGAGCTTAGAGGCAATCTGGTCCAACCTCCCCATTTTACAGATGAGGAAACTGAGGTCCAGGGAGAAGTGACTTGCCCAGCATCATTTCTCTGAGCCTGGGACTGGTCATCTGAGCAATGAGGACAATCTGCCAAACAGAGTTGTTTTGAGGCTCAAATGAGACAATGAATATAAAACACTTTGCAAGGACTGAATTAATGTGCACGATGATAGTAGTGATTTGCTGCTTTGGCATCACTTTTTTTTGAAGCTCTTTACATCTAGTAACTCATTTAATCCTCACAACAGTCTCAGAAGTTGGGTTTTTAGTCCTTTCTCACGCAGAGCCTAAAGTCCAGAGAAGGGGTGACTTGTCCAAGATGGGATGAATGGTAACAGAATCAGCACTCAAACCTGTCTTCATTAAAAAATAATAATAACCTATGTTTTATGGAATTTTTTTGTTTTACATCATATTCAGCTTCCAAAATACTCCTCCCTGGTGTCTCCCCCAGCTTTCCTTGTAACAAAAGGGGGAAAAATTTTAAGCAAAGTCAACTGAGGCATAGACCCAAGTCTGACAGTCTGTGTAACATTCCTCACCCATAGCCTGCCACCTTTCCAACACAATCCAAGTCTCTTGATTCCCAGCCCAAAGGTCTTTCCATTACATAGGATCATAGGATTGTAGGACAATAGATTTAGAGCTAAAAGTCATTTAATTCAGAGCTGTCAAATACAGGACAGGTCACCCATAGCTCTCCTGAGTGGGCTGTGCTAGATTTAATGTAATTGGGAAATATTTAACAAAATAAAGATACAATGTGGCATTTTCTAAGTCAATATGAGGCCTGCGAGGTTTTCCTGCTCAATCTCTGCTCCTGGGTTTGTGGGGTCACATGAGCAGGGTCTATCTTTAGTCAAGAATCTATTTATATTCCCACAGGGAAGTTACTTCATTGCCTGGAAATCCCTGAGAGAAGGGTGAGAAGTGACCAAATCAGATTGAGACCCTGCCTTGGGGGGGGAAAGGCTATCCTCGGCCCTCATCCTGGGCTGACTTCACCCTGCCCTCTTGTCTTCAGCCCCCACCATGCAGTCAGTGCTTCCAGGCGGTGTCCAAGTCTGGGTAGGGGGACGGCTCTTTGCAGCTGACAAGGCCTTGCTGGTGGAAAACAGCGGCTTCTTCCGTGGCCTGTTCCGGTCAGGGATGCAGGAGGCCACCCAAGGTGAGATCCACCTTGGGGTGCTGAGTGCCGGTGGCTTCCAGACTGCATTGCAGGTGTTGGGGGGTCAGCAGCCAGCCCTGGGGGGTGAGGAGGAGCTGTTTCAAGCTGTGGAATGTGCTGCCTTCCTGCAGGTCCCCCCACTGGCCCACTACCTTATCCACAGCCTCACCTCTGACAACTGTGTGGCATTGTGTGAGACTGCATTTGTCTTTGGCTTGTGGGACGTGTTTCACAGAGCGGCACTCTTCATTCGAGATGGTCCCCCAGAGATGGCCGATGAACTGTCCCCAGAAGTGCGGGCCTATGTGGAGGCCCTGAGACCCAGCAGCTTTGTGGCTGTTGGTACCCACACGCCCACTCCTGAGTATTTGGAGGATGTGACTCGAACCCTGTGCTACCTGGATGAGAAGGAGGATGTGTGGCGGACCCTGGCCTCCCTGCCAGTGGAGGCTAGCACCCTGCTGGCTGGAGTCACCACACTGGAGAACAAGCTTTATATCGTGGGTGGGGTCCGGGGGGCCAACAAGGAAGTTGTGGAGCCTGGCTTCTGCTACGATGCTGACCGGGGGACCTGGCAGGAGTTTCCCAGCCCCCACCAGGCTCGCTATGATGTGGCACTGGTTGGCTATGAAGGCAGCCTCTATGCTATTGGGGGAGAGTTCCAGAGGGTGCCCCTAAGATCAGTGGAGCGATATGACTTTGCTGCTGGCTGCTGGAACTTCATAGCAGACCTCCCCCAGCCTGCCGCTGGGGTCCCTTATGCCCAGACCTTAGGCCGCCTCTTCATCTGTCTGTGGCAGCCTGCAGACACCACAGCAGTGTATGAGTACAAGACCCAGGCGGATGCCTGGCTTCCTGTGGCATCCCTGAGGAGACCCCAGAGCTATGGGCACTGCATGGTGGCACATCGAGACAACCTCTATGTGATCCGTAACGGACCCTCTGATGACTTCCTTCATTGTGCCATCGACTGCCTGAACCTGACCACGGGGCAGTGGACGGCCCTGCCCGGCCAGTTTGTCAATAGCAAAGGGGCGCTTTTTACAGCTGTGGTGAGAGGGGATACAATCTACACTGTCAATCGAATGACCACCCTGCTCTACAGCGTTGGCAACGGCTCCTGGAGGCTGCTGAGAGAGAAGGCGGGTTTCCCTAGACCTGGCTCCCTGCAAACCTTTCTTCTCCGGCTGCCTGATGTGGCCCTGGCCCCTGCAGTCTCCTCCCCAGAGCAATGACAGGGTGGAACTGTGGAGAAATCCACGGGACTGAACTCAGAGCAGTCAGCAGGCTTGAGTTTAAGAAGGCGCTTGTGCTGGTACTCAAGGTTGCTTGTCCTTATCTGCTATGGCTTGGGGTCCAAGCAGCCATACCTGAAGTTTCCACCTAGTTCCATTATGGCCTTTATACAGAGATATAAAGAACCCCTATGTGCCAACCTGAAACCTCTCCTGCCTGTCCTGGGTCTGGTTGTAGCTGTTGCTGTGACATCCCGTTTTTCTTCTCCCCCTCAGGCGTCGTGTCTCCACTGAACCTACAAAGTTGGGAAGCTGAGGCCTGGGGCATGTCAGACAAGAGAACTGGCTTTGGAGCCCGAGGACCTGAATTTGGATCTCACCTCTGTGTGACTTTAGGCAAGTCACTTATTGTCCGTGTGCATCGATTTCCTCATTTATGAAGATGAGGAGGTTGGATTAGGTGACCTCTGAGGATACTTTCAGCTCGAAATTTAGGAAAGTTTTGAGGATCACTGTACTACCTTTGGTCTACTGGGAAAGTTGCTTAACATCACTGAGTAATGAGGATGGCAGCCTTGACCCATGGAGTGGCCTGGCAGGACATTGTATGGTATGATGGGTCGGGGATTCAGACGTGCTTGGAAGGCATTGTAGTACCTGGTACTAATCAGTCATTTATTGAGCACCTACTGGAAGCACAGTGCTGAATTCAATGATCTGTGAAGATTCAGATATTGGAGAAGACAGTTCCTGACCACCAGGAGCTTACCATCTAGGAGAGGAAAAGAAGCTAATATTAATGAAAAAAACAAAACAAAACTGGAGAACAATGCAAGGCAGTATCCAATTAAGTGCTGAATTGTGCAATGTGGATAAGGTCTGTAGGAGTTCAGAAGGAAAGGAGATCACTGTGGGCTGGAGCAGTCAGGGAAGATTTCCTGGGTGTGGGACAGACATAGGATGTAGTAAGACAGGTTGGGTCTGTGAGGAATAACCTGAAGGAAGGCGGAGTTGGGAATGAGCTTGCCTCGATAATCCAGAGAGTTTGTTAGAAAATAACCAGCTATCTCCAGGTACTCTTCCTCTGTGATCCAGATGTTTCAGGGTCTCTCACCACTCCCCCCACTGCACTGTGTCCTAGGCAGGAAGAGAGAGGGCTCTTAGCATCATCGAGCAGGCTTGAGTCCAGGAATCTTTAGTCTTTGAAAATGTTTTCCTCCATTAGCTACAAAATCACTCAATATAATAGCTACCATTTATATAGCAGTTTGTAAATCTAAGGGTAGGTTCTATTATTTAAGTCAAGTCAACAAACATTTATTAAGCACCTACTATGTTCCAGGAGCTGCTAAGCCCGAGAGTTTAAGAGATTTGACTGCAATGCAGGATTCATACTCAGGTCTGCCTGATCCCAAGTCTAGATCCCTGTACCACCAGAGGCTTTCCCGCCATTCGTCACTTCCTATTTCTCCTTCTCCCCAAGCCCAGTTTCATGTGGTTAGTCATAACTCAGCTTCGGTTATTGTACTCAATTCCATCCGGGGCAAAACCAGTGGTTTGCCATTTGTTTTCAAGTTATCTGGGGTCAAAGACAGCGTTTACCTGTGTTCATTACACCTTTGCAGCCTTCCCTCTGTTCTCCCTGTCATTGCCAATATAAACCCTCCAATCCAACCAGGCTGGTCTTCTCGATGGTTATCCCCTGAATCAGCCAGGCTTGTTCCTGCTCCAGCACCTTCATTCCAGTCAACCCCGCCCCCCATGAGGCCCCCTTCCCCCTCCTCTCTCTCTTTCATAGACTTTTAGGACTAGAAGGGACTTCGGTCATCATCTCGTCCAATTTCCCCCTTCTGTAGATGAAGAAACCTCGAGGAAGAGAAGTTATTTGCCCAGGGTGATAAAGGTAGCAAGTGGTGAATGAATGAATCAGTCAAAGGACCACTCGCTAGAGTCAGAGGACCTGGGTTCAGGTTTTACCTCCGATATTTATTTCTTATGTGGCTTTGAGCAAGTCACTGAACCTCTCTGGGCCTCAGTTTCCTCATGTGAGAAATAAGGGGAATGGATTAAAGGGCTTCTGGGGTCCCCCCTTCCACCACTAGGTCGGTCTATGGTCCTGTGAATTACAATAGACAGAAAGAGTCCCAGAATCTGAATTCTGTAGGTCCAAGCCCCTTCCTCTGCTGGTGATTGCATAAACCTTTGGAGATCTGCAGATGGTTGCAGGATTTTCTTTTTCTTTGATTAGCTACACCCCTTTCTGCCAGTGGCCCCACTGGCCTCTGACCTGCCGGGGTGCCAGTCACAATGAATCTCTTCCCTTCCAAGCTGTACATAGTTAGAATGGAGGCAGGATAGGAGTCAGGAGATGGGGGCAGAGGTGAGAGTGGCCAGAGAGCAACACCAAGTAAAACTGGGGGACGTTGAGGGGAAGGCACCAGGAAAATGAAATGCTGAACAATCTCTCCAAAGCAGTTAGCAAAAAAAAAAAAAAAAAAAAAAAAATGGCAATGGCCTGGGGCCTTCAGAATGCAGGGCATCTTGGTCTGGTGAATAAAAGCCTTTTAATATTTGTGTGTTTTTTTATGGTTTTTAAAATGCTTTTATGTTTCATTATCTCATTGGATTCCCCCAACCCCAACGAACCAATAAAAGGGATAGAATTTGGGGCAAATGAGTGGCAAAAGAGGGACTAGCACCCAGTTTTCGTAGGTCGGACTCCTACTGGTGCTTTTTACCCCTGAGATTCCTTAACCTGGAGTCTATGAACTTGTTTCTTAAAAATATTTTAATAACTATATTTTAACAAAAATGGTTTCCTTTATCATCCTATGTGTTTTATTTTATATATTTTAAAGCATTGTCCTGAAAAGAGTCGATAAACTTCACTAGACTGCCAAAGGGGTCCATGATACAAAAAAGTTTAAGAATCCATGTTATTATCTTGTGATTAATTCTGAGTATAGGGTGACTGATGCTTTCAAAAATGTTGAATGAGGCAGGGAGAAGCCCCTTCTTCATTGTGATTTGGCCTGCTCCTACCGGTCTCCTTAGATGGGGCATTCAGTAACCTGGGGACTCATTGGTGCCTGGATCATCAGCTCTTTCCAGAATTCTTCTTCCTGGGCAGGGCAAACATGCCTGTTATTGTTATTGCTCAGTTGTATCCGACTCTTTGTGACCCCTTGGACCACACTGTCCTTGGGGTTTTCTTGGCAAAGATACTGGAGTGGTTTGCTATTTCCTTCCCAAGTGGATTAAGACAAACCGAGGCTACATGACTTGCCCAGGGTCACACAGCTAGTGTCTGAGACCATATTTGAACTCAGGTCTTCCTGACTCCAGGCCCAGTGCTCTGTCCACTGACCCATCTAACCAGGCAAAAACTGAGTCCTGGGCAGAATTCATCTTCAATACTCCATTGTCCCTTTCCTGGTCCTACCCCCATCAGTTGTCCGATGCCCTCACACCATCCCTGACGACTGCTCAGGGTCTGAGCCTTCCTGGACAGCAGCACTTTTTTGTCCTGTGTCCCAGACATTTAAGTGCCCTCTTCTCTGCCAAAAGGCAATGTGGTGTTGATAGATCAAAATAATTCAACAAATGAATCCCAGTCAATGTGCTAACTAGCTAATGTGTTCTCCTCTCTCACTTGACCTAACCCTGTTGAAATGTACACATCTCCAAAATGCCCTTGGAGACGATGGTCTTGCAGGAAATGTGTGAGAGAGTTTGGGACCCTGGGGGAAACCATACCATATAGGTATCCTTCTACTCTGTCTATGTGCAGGGCCCTCATCCCTAGAACAATGTCAGGGCTGGTCTAGTTCATCAGCTTGAGTTTTTTGTTGACAAAGGTGTACAAATCCATTCTCTTTCTGGTGAGATTCTCATTCCCTCTTCTTACTTGTCCTGACTGACATTTTTTGAGTCCTGGACCAAGTCCCAAATGGGAGGAGACAGAAAGCAAAATGGGGAAAGGAAGGGAATAAGTATTTATGTGGTGACTAATATGAGCCAGGTATTGTGCTAAGTGCCTTTAAAAAAAAACCAACCAAATATTATCTCATCTGATCCTTATAACAGTCGAGGCAATAGAGGCAGATGTTATGTGATTTCTGCAAGCGAGTAAGTATATGAAGTTGGATTTGAACTCAGGTCTTCCTGAATCCAGGCTGAGTACTACTACCAGCTGCCTAATACCCTAGAAAGGGTGTTAGATATGGAGTCAGACAACCTGGGTTAGAATCCTGGATTGGCCACTTACTAGTTATATAACCTTAGACAATTCACTTAGCTTCAGTTTCCTCATCTGTAAAATGAGGAGGCTGAATTAGATGCCCTCTGTGGTCTCTTCTAGTCATAAATCTATGAACCTATGCATCTATATCTTAATTTTGCCTCTAGTAGGCCTTGAAACCTGGGAGCCTTTAGTCAAATAAAACATACATTGACCAGAAATTTGGAGGCTTTTGTCAAGTGGTAAGATATAGGCTTAGTCAGTGATCGATTCCACGGCTCCCTCCTACTCCAACATGAGGGTTCTTCTTGTAGGTGATGAGAAAAGGAATGAGGGAATACTGAAAGATCTCATGAAACTCATTAGCAATTTGAATTTTCAATAGAATTCTCATCATTTTATATTACCCACCCAAATTCACCACTGGAGTCTAGGATTGACCACCACTGACCGCTGGAAACAATGTGACCTCTTAGATACTTCTAGGACTCCCAGCCTAGGCAATACAACAACCCTAGATGTCTCCAATGCCTCCCACAGTACCCAGAGAAATTCACCAAAGATTATCAGTAGAAAATTAATCTTAATTCAATTTAATTTAAAATGTGAATACCCAGGCAGGTGGCTATTAAATGATTCTCTATCTAGAGTTTCTATCTAGACTAGGGTCCAGCTTGGGACCCTATCAATGGTATTCCACTTAGACCTGGATGCTCTGGGTAGTTTCTACCTCTATGAGGACTCTCTTCCAGTGTATTGGCCCAAATTGGAGACATCCAAGACCCAAAGACTAAAGCCGTCCTTGGAGGTGGAGGGTGGGGATAGGGAAGAGGAAGAGTATTGGAGATATATGGTTAGGTCCCTCCTAGCAGTGTTAATATAATAAGTAATAATGTAAATAATAAGTAATATATAATTAAGTACTGTATAATTAGCCTAGAAAGATTATTAAAAGCTTTAAATGCAAAACAGAGGAATTTGTATTTTATCCTAGGGGCGATAGGGAGCCAATGAAGCTTTTTGAGCAGAGGAATGACATGGTTATAATTGTGCTCGAGGATGGATTGAATAGGGGAGTTTAAAAACCGATTGGGGGAGGGGGGAGAACAAAGGAGGCTATTGCAGTCATCAGAGCAAGAAGTGATATGGGTCTGAAGCAAGGTGGTGTTGTGTCCTGGCCCTGAGTCAGCCATTAATTAGTTGTATGACCATGGGGG